ACTAGCAGTTAGCACCAAAGGTTTCTGTTAACCATCATGCATGTCCATGGACTAGTAGTTAGCACTTAATGTTTCTGTTAACTATCATACATGTCCATGGACTAGTAGTTAGCATTAAATGTTTCTGTTAACCATCATACATGTCCATGGACTAGCAGTTAGCACCAAAGGTTTCTGTTAACTATCATACATGTCCATGGACTAGTAGTTAGCATTAAATGTTTCTGTTAACTATCATACATATCCATGGACTAGTAGTTAGCATTAAATGTTTCTGTTAACCATCATACATGTCCATGAACTAGCAGTTAGCAGTAAATGTTTCTGTTAACCATCATACATGTCCATGGACTAGTAGTTAGCACCAAAGGTTTCTGTTAACCATCACGCATGTCCATGGACTAGTAGTTAGCACCAAAGGTTTCTGTTAACCATCATACATGTCCATGGACTAGCAGTTAGCATTAAATGTTTCTGTTAACCATCATGCATGTCCATGGACTAGCAGTTAGTACCAAAGGTTTCTGTCAACCATCATGCATGTCCATGGACTAGTAGTTAGCATTAAATGTTTCTGTTAACCATCATACATGTCCATGGACTAGCAGTTAGCACCAAAGGTTTCTGTCAACCATCATGCATGTCCATGGACTAGTAGTTAGCACTTAATGTTTCTGTTAACCATCATGCATGTCCATGGACTAGTAGTTAGCACTTAATGTTTCTGTTAACCATCATACATGTCCATGGACTAGCAGTTAGCACCAAAGGTTTCTGTTAACTATCATATATATCCATGGACTAGTAGTTAGCATTAAATGTTTCTGTTAACCATCATGCATGTCCATGGACTAGTAGTTAGCATTAAATGTTAACTCTCAAATATGTCTATGGACAAGCAGTTAGTACTGAATGTTTCTGTTAACCATCAAAAATGTGTCCATGGACTAGCAGTTAACACTAAATGTTTCTGTTAACTATCAAAAATGCATCCATGGACTAGAGGTTAACACTAAATTGTTCTTTTAACCATAAACGTGTCTGTGGATTAGCACTTAATGTTTCCGTTAACCATCAAGCGTGTCCATTGACTAACAACACAAAATATTTCTTTCAATAGTCAAACATGTTCATAGACTAGCATTTAGCACTAAATGTTTTTGTTAACCATCAAAAACATGTCCATGAACTAGCAGTTAGCACTAAATGTTTCTTTTAACCATCAAACATGTCGATAGATTAGCAGCTAGGAACAACTGGTTTATCTCCATTTCTAGTTTTTAGTTAAAATTTGATTTAGTTCTCTAAAATTTCAGGGCACACCAAGACCTAGAAAAGCTGAAGTTTAATACATTTTGACTGTTACATTCAGAAAGGAGGAACATTGATTTTGTTTTTTTGGTGGCTGAAGGGCATCTGCCATTTTATTTTCTTCAAAAACTGACTGAACCTCTGTATGAAACTTAGGCTTAGCAATTAAAATTGTACAAGCAATAACTTAAATCATATAAAGGTATACATATATGAAATCAAACTAAAAACAGACTCCTGTATTCGTGATGATTGTTATTTATCATTTGATGTATAGTTGGATGAGGAAGAAGTTAATGACAGTATAAAACGTTTTAAGCTGAAAACAAAATACTAGTATGAATTTCATTTTATAAATTTTACTTCTTTTATCTTAAAACAACTTAACATTAGATTAATAGAACATGTATTTTTATCGTTCACTTAAGAACGTTATTCCTGTACTTTTACCAAAAAAACAAACAAACTTGAAGAATACCTTAGGTTGATCGAATGAAATGAATACTTAAATTAATAATAATACTATTACTTGTGAACATTTTTACCAACAAGACAAACTGAGAGTCATACAATTACTCTGATACATTTGAATCACCAGGACTGAAATTTCATCAGGAGAGGAATGGCTCGAGGAAAGAAGTCTTGTTGAAAATTTCACAAATCTTTCATCTGCTTTCCCACCAAAATGGTCAGAGATTTTGGAGGTTTGTAAAAGGTGGGTGATTTAAATATTTATCATAGGTTTGCTGATGTTAAAATCCTCTCTGGATCACCTTTATGTTTTGAATAGGAAGTACATTTAATACCATGCACCAGGCCTAAACTTGTATGGAAAAATAGCTTCTATTTTGTAAATTGTAAATAATATTTTTTGGATTGATCAGTGTTTAAAACACATTGAAAATAAAATCTTCTTCTGTTTATTTTATGAATTCATACACATATATTAGATTACTGGATTATGAATTTGCTTACAATATATCAGTGATGTTGAATACTTTTCGCTACTTTATCCTTGTGATGTATGGTAATAGTGGACTAATGTCCTGTTTCCAGGGTAACAAGTGTCTTTAAGTATCTTAAACACATCTCTCTCAAATTATTCATGTCAACTTCAGAAAGAGAAAATGTTATTCAATCTCTCTCATTTTATTGAGAGATGTTTCATTCTGTTTCATGTCCTAGAAAGAGCTCATTATTTGGCATCTTTAATGAGATATACTATCTATATTTCACACACAACTGATATACTAATGATTCAACTTAGACTTAACAGTTGTAATCCATCTTAACCGATAAGCACCAAAATTAAAAGCCCCATTAACAGCTAAGACAGGGTAGGATGAACTCTAACATGGAAAAGTCAGAAGAAAATGTCCCCCCTCCATGTTTTTTTATTAACTGCAGCATAGCGGCTCATAGAATGGCTCCAAGTTTTTTTTCCAAGTACAAACTTTTAACTCCTAGCTCCATCATCTCTTGACCAATTTATGATCTAATTACAGTTTTGGACTCAAGTGGTCAAACCCTTTTGAGTGATGTATTTGACCACACCCAAGGTCTCATAGGTTAATTTATTCTAATCGTGCCTAAAAGAATTTCAATTTGAGGGTAGGTAGGCTGGTAGAGATCCTGATGAGTAATAAAATCTAGGGATGCACGGGTAGTAAAATTTGGCCAAACACTGGGTTATCCCTATAACAACATACACAAAAATTAGAAACAAAAACAAAATTGACATTTATTACATTTAACCGAATAATCACCAATAGAACATTCCAGTTGTACTTTATCATTATTACCAAAAAAATAATACAGTGACTGACCAAGATTACCTTAAATCATACCAATTACTGTATAGCTGAGCAGCATGGTTTACATACATGTGAAGCTACAAAGATAAACAAGAGGGAATCCTCAATAGCCGCAGCAATTGAAATTCTTTTAAGCAGCATTAGAGCAAATTAATCTATGAGACCTTTTTATTAGCTATACTTTTGTGCACCAGCAATACCAAAAGTGGAGCGTGCGTATACCTGATTAGATTTTATTAGGGATGCACGGGTATCCGGCCAAATATTAGGCTACCCAGTAAAACTCGAGTCCAGCCGAGTGATGAAGTTAAAAACAGCTGAATCCGAGTATTTAAAAATGGCATCTAAGCCCTAATCTTTGTGGCAACTTACGCGGTTCTGAAAGTTACAGTCAATAATTGGTTTAGTTAAAAAAACGTGTTCTGAGCAACAAAGACTGATCACCTGCTGAAAGCTGGAGATTCAGAGGACAATAGAGGGTAATAACAGGCATGGCTTAGTGGATTTCTGGGGAAGGTGGGGTTATGAGAAGAATAGGAGGTTAGGGTTTGAGAAGTTGGGGCTAGGCATTAATCGGATTATTCTAAAACGTGTCACCATCACTGGCCTCACTTTTGAAAGTCAAATGAAGCTTGATTTCCCACAATGGCCAGGATAGCAAGGTATTACCTCTCCGCACCTCTGAATACTGTAGACAGTGAATGGGCTTTTAGCGCCGCTGGCAACATTAACACACATGAAAGGTCAAGGCTTTTACCTAAAAATGCCGAAATGCTACTGTTCCTCAAGTACAACTTAAACAAATTCCAAAAATACAGCCATTCAGCAAACTGGTGTGCACATTTTTGTCAGTTAATTTTGAAAGTTGGATAGGTTCAGTACAAATATGCTATTTTAAATAAAAATGGAACATTTTATTGTGTACCTTCAAGTTGCAGTACTGTAGTCTGAATTAAGTACTGACGTTTTTATTACTAGGTTATAACTAGGGTGGTGTTGATTAGGTAGAATGTGAGAGAAGGTTGAAATAGCAGTGTGTCATGCACATGTTTAGGTCTGGAGATGTGGGGACTGTGTAAGTAAAGAGATTTGTGCTTCAGCAACATACACTGTTAAGTGTACTTTCAGAAAGTCTTCACTTTTAAGAGATGTATACGAAAAAAATGTGTGTCCAGAGTTGAAGATGACTGAGATTTATGGACATTAAAGATATTAAAATCAGTGTGATAAAAGATTTAAAAAACATCTGATGTTGATAAATGTGTGTATTACCTCATGTTAAATGTCATTTTTGCACATACATGTCTCTTTTCTTTAATATTATCACAGGACCGGAAGTTTAGACTTTTAAGAATTCTAACAAAATTAATTTTCTTTTACATATAATTATTTACTGAAAAACACATGTTTCAAAAAAATAAAAAATGCATGAAATTTTACCTTGTTCATGTGAAAAGAATGTGGTAAAATAATGCTAAGTACTCCCTATTAATAATTTACAGACATCATTTATCATGTAATTGAATAGCTGACAGGAAGTAGTTGGATAATTTATGTTGAAGGATTTGCAAAGGATAATAAACAAATACTGGTAGTCTAAAAGTTGCACACCATCATGATACTTCCAAGTCCTTCTCTTACTCAAATTTTTTTTTTCCTCACAATAATTAACTTAGATATGATAAACATTACAAGGATGTGTGGAAGTGAGCTCTAACTTGAGTTAACGAATGACGTTTTTTGTGATATCAGTAGTGGTGGTGGTGTGACTTTTGAATTACAACTGACCACTTTGTTTAAAAGTGTAAACTTGACAGATACTTGCAACGATATGCATTTGTTTCCTATCTTTTTATTTTACTAGTTTCTTTACTGATCCTTGGCCTTTTATCTGATCTTCCAGTGTGTCTAATGAATTGAGCTTCAGCTGACCAATCAGTACAGCTATTTATTAATTTAGGCTTAAGTGCATTTCTTAAATATAACTAAGCCTAAACTACAGGCAAATCCTCAGCTAAAAAGATTTTTACATATGTTCAGTTTTCTTTATTTTCCATTGCCTGTTATTATTTCAGCGACCTAAAAAGTTTGACATTTCTTTTTCCATAGTCTTAACTGTTTTAGAAAAAACTTGGATGTAATTTCCATATTAGGAAAGTCAAGAGAGTAAGGAAAAATGTGCACATTTGTAAAATTTCTTTTTTTTTATATTATAGTTCTCTGTAATATATGATGTTATCATCATAATCTTTATCAATATTTTGACACCTTTGCTAAGTATGTCTATTACTTAAGAAATTATGAAAACTTGTTGAGTCCAGGAAAACTGTTTATATTTAAAATTAAATTTATCAAACTTTATTACCAATATCACCGAGTAATTCCAGCCAGTCGCAATGTTTATAAGAAATCTACAAAATTTCTAGCAGTCATCGTAATATACACAGTATGTTTCACATGCAGGAGTAAAAAATATTTGGATAATTTGTTTATTCATCAGATTTTTCTGAAACATTAGTAACTTGTTCCACAGGTGTTCAACACTGAACTGTGAAATAGTGACCGAGCTTTTAGTACAGAAGTTGTCTGTGAAAGAAGAAAGTATACAAATGGTAGGCTGATTAAAATTTTCAAGAAGTAATAATCCAAACTACAAGTGTTCGTAAGAGTGAAAGGTTTCACGAATGTGAATACACCTAAAATTAGAATCTTTTAACTTTTAACAGTTTTAGAGATACAGTACATTTATCTCATATATATATATATAGGTAATTTAGCAATGAAAATAAATGTTGTTTAAAAATTGAGAGATAAAATCTTTGAGATTAGCTGAAAGTAAAGAGAATGCTTGGTGAGTGCACAATAATGTCTCAATTTACAGAATATTGTTGTTAAAAATTTGTAAAACACTTTTCATATATCTACTTTGCAATGAAAGTTGTGTAAATAGAAATTCATATTTTAATCGGGGCATTAACTCCAAGTTTATCAACTTATCCATAAACATGGGTCCATGGACTGCTAAGGTCTAAAGATGTTCTTAAATGACCCTTGACCTAAAATATGTTCAAATGAAACTACTATGTACCTCAATGTGATTCTAAATTATTCAAGAAAATATTAAAAGCCGAAACAAGAGAGAACAAAACCTTTTAGTTAAAAGAGCTACCTTTCTATTATTCAGTTAATATATATATTCCTTAATTTTTCCCATTAACAACTCAGTGCTATACAAAACAAAACTATAAATTTTCTCATTTGAAAAGATGAGCAACAATCTTTTTTTTTGGGTTGGCATAACACTTTTTTGGTTTTCCAGCTCTGATGCTCCTTCAGACTTGATTGTCTTTTCCCATTCAATGACCATAACCTTGAAATTATGTAATCGTTTCTGTTTGATGCACTTTCTAAGCCTGTTTTTCACCCTACTTAAACAAGGAAAATCCTGTCTGCAGAAAAAGTTGTAACAGGAACTGTCAAACACAGTTCTTGGTTCAGGGTAGAGTGTCTTTTAGTAGAATATACACTTGAAAACAGTAGAAATTTTATATCTGCACCACGGAGAGAATATCCAGATTTCTAGGTTTAAAGTGAAGATGTCAAGTACATTCCTGAGAATTAATTGGTTTATCAAGAACTTTAGATGAGAACTTTCAGATTTTGAGCATTTGGTCTTTTCGCAATATCAGCTGTAAATCAATCAATTAAATCAGAGTAACTATTTCTGGCGTATTCTCTTTGGTGATTAAGAATAAGATTATTCTGATCTACTATCATCATCATACCTTTTCTTGGGAGAAAGGATTTTGCAAGCTCCACTTCTTCAGATTTGTTTTTCTTACAAGATTCACCAAATATGCCTTTGATTCACATATTTTTTAGTGCTTCAGTGATGCTCTGAACTGTAGAATTTACCTGAGATACATTAAGCATTTCTGAATGCAGGTATCTTGATAAGGCCTCTGTCAAGTTGAAAACTTCATTCAGCACAAATGGAATTCAAAGGTGATCCATTCTGAAAATTACTATCAGACAACATAGCTAATGCTTTCACAGCTTCAAAAGAATCAGTGTGACTGGCACAACATGTTGCATATCTAGAAGTAACTTAAGGAGAACTTTAATAGTTGTAACAAGGGAGTGAAAACATGCTAAAACAGCATTCAAACAATGGAATAGTATTTGGAACAGGTAGAAAATATAGTGGTAATGTGTTTAAGAAATATATTACTGCTGGGTGACATTGTGTTAAACTTAATATATGGCTTGTCTTAAAGATTGAATTACATTAATAGATAAGTGTGGATTTACAAAAATCTTTGTAACTGTTGTGTAATTTATATTGGCCAAACATGTAGAAATTCAAAATTTAGACTTAAAGAACACAACTCAGCTACAGAAAAACAGATGAATCAATGTTAGCCAAACATATAGCTAACGGTCCTTGTTTCCATACTATTAATTGGAATAATATCAAACTGATTAAATATATTAATAAGTATGAACTAAATATAATATAATCAGTAGAAATATTTATGAATTTGAATTTATCTTGAAATAGAGATGCAGGTCCAGGATAATAGGTGACAGCACCATATGTTTAATGTTTTTGTTTTTAAATTAAGCACAAAGCTACACAATGGGTCATCTGTGCTCTGCCTACCACAGGTATTGAAACCCAGTTTTTAGCATTGTAAGTCCACAGACATACTGCAGTGCCACTGGGGGGCTTGTTTAATGATTGGTCAATGTGTTTGCATTATGCAATATAGTAAGATATTAAAACCAATGTTTTCTCAATGATGGTGAATCTGTCACCCAATGTACACATTTTTAGTAAGGCCTAGGCCTTCAACTGTTTTTAGTTGTTGTGTACTTCTACTGCCATGCACTTTTGATAATATTTTAACCTAAGTCTTGTTAAAATTCATTGGGACTTATGAAAATATATTTACAGAGGGTGCTTATTCTACTTGAGGCGATACTTCACAGAGACCTGGTTGTACTGAATTCTTTCAGTAAAAGAACCCTTCCTGTTGTTCAAGATTTGCAGGGAGAAAGCATACAAGGTCCAGTCCAGGTAAAAGCCAAGAAAGTAAGTATGAACAAGGTATTCTGTCTAGTGAAAACTGAGGTAAAGACACAAGGATAAATATTTTAACTTAAATTTTTCTTTGGGAGGGGAAATTCTTTACACAATTTTCTGTGGGTATGGTTTTTTTTTTTGGTTTTTTTGCACTAAGCTACCTGAGGGCTATCTGCATTAGCAGTCCCTATTTAAGGAAGGCAGCTAGTAAACAACATGCCCTGCCAACTTTTGGGCTATTGTTTTTACCAATGAATAGTGGAATTGACCATCACATTATAACATCCCTACAGCTAAAAGGGGCGAGTATGATTGGTAATGGGAATTCTGCGAGACTAGAGCCCTAAGTACCAGGCCACTACAGTTATGATTAAATTGATTACTTTTTTCTTTTGCAATCTAAGGATCAAATTATTTCTATTTGCACTCGGTAAGAAGATTGTCAAAGACAAACTAAGCAAACTGCGACAGTATTGGCTGTTGTGACTAAAATTCTGAAAGGATTATTTTACATTCCCAGTGCTGTTTTAATTTACTTAAGTTTCAGTTGAGTTGTCAAATTACAAACAGTTATTATATGATTTTTTTTTTGCTGAAAATTACAGCTACCCTAAGGAATGATATACAGACAAAAAAAGTGTTATTTCTGTAATGTGTGATGTACTTTAAGTTGAGTAATATAAGTAGGAAAAAAATCCTCTACTAGGTTTTTTAGAATAATCAATTAAATTATTTTTATTTACCAAGCTCTTATTTGTAGGTAGAATCAAAACAGTTGCATTGTTTTCTGTCTTTACGCACTTCACTTTTTTTAGCTCATGCTCATATTGGAGAAACTTGCAGAATACCAACTAAAACAAGAAAATCTCTTCAGAGAAGGTCCTCAATCATGATGGTTAATCAATGTAAGTATAAGAAGACATTAGAGACTGACAACAAGCTCCTTATTCAATTCATGTGATGTGAACATATTGTGTACATTAAATTTTCATTGATATCATATTGAGGTATTTTCATGTGTTTTCCTGACACAAATACATATTAAGTTAATGTTCTTTGTACAGTGTTAAACATTAAAATTTCATACATGATTTCGGAAAAACAAGTAGGTTCAAGAAGTCTCAATATAACTTGATAGAAGTCAGTGTGAGAAAATTTTACTAGACCAGTGACTTCTATGTAATAAGAGAAATTTACAGGAAAAAAAAACCTGTGACACCACAACTGAATGGTTTCTACTAAATTATGTATTATGTTCCTTACACATTCTGAAGTGACTCTAGCTTACATACAAAGCTCACATAAATATATATTTAATATAAATCTGAAATGGCATTTTCACCATACTATCAACATTTCAGTAAACCCTACAAATAAATGTTACTTTATTTTAGTGACTCGACAACAGTTGTACTTTGAAGCTTTAGATTAATCACCACAACAAGAGTTGCAATACCACTTATACAGCTATAATACACAAATTCAGCTGCTTTAACTACTTTGGTTATTAAGGTCACTAAGTATACAATGGCTTAAACGTAGTTTTACTCTGAACCATTAATCTAATGGTTTAATTAAATATAAAAAGATCATTTGTAGACACGTTTTTTTTGTTTTTGTTTTTTGCATAAAATTTCCAAACAAAAACAATATTAGAAGCATCTTTTGACAGTATTTTTGTAAATTGCTTTTTTTAACACAAACCAAATATAAAGTAATAAATAACTTGTGACTTTATAATTTTTTTTTAATACTTTCAAAGGACCCTATGTTGAACTTGTCTAAAATCTTAATCCAGTTTATAACTGATAGCTAGACAAGTCATAGTAATAACCAAATTAAATAAAACTAGTATGCAGACTAATTTAAACAAAAACTGTACAATTCATTACACATGTGAATGAATATATACACAATATTTTACTGTTGTAACTGTCTATAATTTGTAAAACTTAGAGGATCGCCTTGTAAACATTGAAACATCAGATGTTTTTGAAAATATTCTAATTCAGAAACTTCTTCCAACTGTTTATATACGATTGTTTCCTACACTGCCTTTCCCTCCCACCACCAACATGTAAAAGTTAGCCAACCACTTAAGTTTATAACAACATAAAATTTTTTTCATATAACAGAAAGAGCTTCTTTATTTCCCATGTGTATAGATTTCAGGACTGCACAGAAAGAAAAATAGTAGTCCAATAAATAGGAAAAGACAAAATTAAGCAATAAATTATCTGCATCTTAAATAATCCATGAAAAAAAAAAGTCCACTTTTCTTGTTTTTTGAATAATCATTCAAATTTCTACCACATGATTTAAGGCTAAGCAATAGATACATCAAAATACATCCCAAACTTTCCAGAATATGTTTTGACCACACAACATGACAAGTGCTATTAACATCATATATGTGACAAGATAATGATTGTGATTTTTTTATAAGTTGGGCGTTTACTTAACTTGTAGTAAACAATGTGACTAGTGTCAGACTTATGTTGTACTGAAAAATGCAGCTCTTAAAAAGTTAATGTTAAGGTCTAACTATTCGTGTTTAAAAAAATACTCCATCTCCAATAAAGCCAGAGAATGAATACATTTTTTTTAGAATATGACGTTCACAAAGAACACACTGTAGTTTACCTTTTGGTAAAGGAGACATTGACATATTTGATCTATGGGAATTAAAGTGCTCTTGCCAGTATATACATTTAATACCCACAAATCAAATGTATAGATCAAACATGTTATATTACCAGTTTATTAGAAATTTACTGTTTAAACAGCATGTTAGTGTCACACTTACTTGGTGAACCTGACTAGAAAATTAACTCTGTGGTGGCACCAAACTCCTAGCAAGCCAATCACAATATTTCACATTGCTATTTTATTATAGCAAATGACAACTGGTGGAACCTAATCTTATCTTCTTTTATGTTACTACATCTAGTTGAAATTTGGTTTTAATGACTTGGTTTGTCAGACCAGTCCATTAAACTTAAGTAATTGATGCCTCATATTAGGGAAGGTGAGGTGGTTGTAACATTAAATACTCGAGTTATTTGGAAGCAGTTTTATTTTTATATAACGTACGAATGTGTTCCGTTACTCACAGGAAAAATTAGTAAATTGAAGGAAAATAATTTTAGGCGTATCTTTCTGATGACGGAATTATTTCTTGTTGTACTTTATGTTTTCAGTGTAATGATCACACTGGCACAAGTTCGAGGAGAAAATCTGGTGTCAGTGGTGGGGTAGAAGTATGTAGTGGTTTTAGTGACTGATGTGGTTGTATTCTCCAGAAGTTTTTACAAGTAAATCTAAAATGGTACATTTTTAAGGGCACCTATCTTTTCCACACCAAAAGTTGTAATCTGTAAATGCAAACATCAAATTTGCAAAACATCTAGGGGGAGGGGATTTGAGTTTAAGGGAGCTCTCTCAGCCCTGTGGAAATAAACCTCCTGTATATGTTTCACAGCCACAAAATGCCAGGGAGGATTTCCTCAGATCTGCTGGAAAGTCAAATTACATGCTTGCTGAACTATTACTTTCTGAGGAAATATTTGGCATTCTTTAAAACACAACTTTACATTTCAAATTCAACCTTAAATAATAATATCAATTGTTTATATTAAATATAAATTAATTGTTGTTGAATTTCATTACACACACTTGCAGCCAGCTTTTTTAGATTAATGTAGTACAGAATCGAGATAACGGTTTTAATTGTATAACTCATTTGTAAGAAGGTAAAATGCCAATCAGATCAAGCTGTTAGTGTACTTGTGGTACGATTACAAGCTTTGTATAATTGTTAGGAAATAAGACCTCTGAACTTAAAGCTAAACATTTGTGAGACAACGTTGTGGTATCTAAGTAACCAGAAACGTACGTGTTAATGTGCATGAGCTTAGAATACTTTTGTAATGTACAGCATACATGGAATGCTTTCCATAACTTGACCATAAATAGTTATTAGCAACTTTGTAAGAGTAACTAATCCACAGTGTGACCATCTGGTTGTCAAAATATAACATGGAACAAACACAACATATTAGTGTAGACTTAGTGATAATAGCTCACTTATTTATGGTAATTTAACTGATTTTTATTGACCATCCTGTTCCCATGCTTTAATTAATGAACAAGTAGACACTCTTTTCATAACGTAAAGCCAAAAATATATTTACATTTGAAAACAGATGCTGCTAAGACCAACTGTGGATAAGCTAATAGTATGGAAGCAATGGTGTTAAATATACAAGACTGTTTAGTTTAAGAGTTATTATTTAGTTTTCATAACAAGAGTGTTAAAAGTTAATTATTTTAAAAGCAATAGTTATAAAACGTTTTGTTACATAGCTCCTTATGAGTCGTACGTTGTGTATGTAGTTTAATTATTGCACTAGGTTTTTATAATACTGTTGATGTTATCTTACTCAAAGCTTCTATGTTTTCTCATTATGTGTAATATTTTGTCACTAGTGGGCTAGATTTTTCTATTGCGTGTTAAAAATATGTGCAGATACAGAAAGAAAGCAAGTTAAGTGAGAGATAATTAATACAGATCTAGACTGAGTGATTGGCAGTTTAGCCACGATGAGCAATTTCTAAAGAAGTTATGATTGTTAGTTTAGCCATGATGGGCAATATTTAAAGTGTGTTTCACAGTGGTATTGTAATAAAGGAATGTAATTCAGTTTGTGAATGGGGTTCTAAGGTAATTGAACACACCTGTGTGGACTTTGACAAAAAGGGAGACAATTATCTAAAGTTCTGGATGCAACTGTGGTAACACACAGGGTAACATAAGTGAATTTATCGCGGATTGCGCAGTAAAATACAAAGTGAAGAAAAATAATTTGTCTTGTCAATTGGGTTCTAAAATAACTGAGAATTATTTAAAGCTTTAGCTACAATTGTGATAAACATTAGTGTAACAAAGTTTAGTACATACGTTTAACTTTTTTGGAATATTTTATTTTAAAACAAGTGGACTGTGTACTGTCTGTTTATTGTTGACATTTATTGCCAACAAGTCACAGACACCTACTATAAAAGAATCCCAGCCCATATTCAAAACCTGACAAATCATAAATTTGGTTTGAAAATAAAACTAGTTTTTAGTTAGATAGTAGAGCATTTACTTTGAAAAGAATATACCAATATTTCAGTAATAAAATTCCTCCAGGATCTTTAAAATAAAACATTGTCAGAAGTTTCTGGGATTGTAAGAGTTTTACAGGTTTAATATATATGTAAATATAGGTTTCTGACAAAAAAATGATGGAAAATTTAGAATGGCTTAATTAAAAGAAAATGTTTTAATTGAAGTTTTTTAACATCATTTTATTCAAAGTGTTAGGTTTATAACTTTGAAATCCAATTAAAAACCATGTAATATTTACCATCTTGGTTATAACAGTGTGGGAGGAAAGGTAGTAACTGTTGTACTGTAAGCTAAAGAAGTGGCATATAAACAAGCACTGCTGTCTCCATTTCCTTGTGTTTTATATGTATGTTTAACATTGAATTTTGTTAAAGTACATCTGCTAATAAATTATATCATCATTTCCTTCAACTCACACATGACATTACATAATGTAATCTTTGGAATAACTAATTACCATTACTTGAAAAGTGCATAATAAACATTACATCCATCTTCACATTTTAACATAGGTTGTGGATTTTTATATCTATTAATCGGTTTTTGTATAAGCCTGTTAATGAAACAAACAAAACATAATTAAAATATGATCAAAACAGCACGAAACTATAAGTTCTAGCTTCAGTACACGAAATGTTTCTTTTTACATACATGAATAAATTTTAGGGCCAAAGGTGGCTCCTATCAGCCTTTGGGCTCAAGATCTTTTTCTGTATAACTGATGTTAAGATAAACTAGTATTAGACTATAAACATGAGTTTGCAGACTGATAGATAATAATCTTTGAATGTTGGTAATTTATTTGCACGATTCATTCACTAAGCTTGACGAAAATATATCACGACTGTAATTTCAAGCAAGTAAAAATGGAAAATCTGAAGTGTTTTTTTTTGTTGTTAACAGTAGTATTTTGTATTTTTGGGTATTTTGTTTTCTTCTTTTATCATAATTTTTCAATGGAGAAGATTGACTGGAAAAATTTAGGACTGTCTTACTCAGACTGTTAAAAAAAATGCGTAAATGATGCATTTTCTTTAATGGTTGTAGTTAATAATATTAATTTGGACCAACTTACGTTTTTTTTTTTTTCATACTACATTTTTACCTCTGTGTATGCTATCTGAAAATAATTATTTGCACTACACGTAAATAATTAACTTGCAAGGAAACAGGAACTATATCAAAATCTTCCAAAAAAAAAAGAGATCATTTTATGATTGACATGTAACACACACATTGATGGAAAATATTGAGATATATAAGGCTAATTATATACGAGGCAGATTAAAAAAAACAACAACTGCAAAACAACTGACAGCTTTAGTTTTTCTTGTGCATTTAAACTGTTGCCCAAAATTCATATCTTCAGCATAGAGCAAAACAGTTTCTTTGATGCGTTTTCTTATACTTTAATTTTTATTGCTACCAATATCTGAATATGCATCATTATGAAGTTACTAATCATTTTTGTTTCTGCTGGAAGGAAATGACATCATCCAAAGCAGTTTTTCAGTATTAGAGATATAAAATAGTATGATACAGATAATTGCTGTGGTATAACGTCTCTGCCCTGAAGTAGTTGTAACGGCAGAGTTAAAGGAAGTAGGTATTATATGTTGGAAGTTTCCATATCAGTTCAACTTGCACTGGTGTACATTGGGGCTGTGATATGAAAAAGTACCTTTGCAAATCTGTGTCTGTTTGATAGTGTATGATCACAAAACTTAATGAAGAACTCCTAAATTACTCCTTTTCTAAGGTTATTTCAAAATAATCTTTAGTTTCTTATCGACACTCACACCAGTATTTCATATTTAAAACAAAAGCCTGTTAAAATTGCCCCCCCCCCTTCATCCTTGTACTTTAAACACTTTGTCATGTTCAGTACTAAATTTGTGGTAGGCCTACCACAAGTTCATATTCTGTCCTGTATGTGGCTGTTTAATTTATAAAATATTTGATTTTCGAGCTGTATTTATTCAGTGGAATATGCTATTTTATAGCATATAAATCAGAATAACTGGTGAAGATAGTGTCACTCATTTAAGATACAAATGACTTTCTCATGTATTCTGTGATCAGAAACTAGAGATTATTTTTAACTTGTCTAAAACAAGTGTTATGGGAACAATGTTTACTTGACTTTAGTAGAGTTAACTACAAGACATTAACAGGAGAAACTCCATCTAAACCTTGTTGAAAAGACTCACTTTCAAACCTTCAGTGAGACACCTAGACAGTGACTATTAGAACACTAATACTGCAAACATCTGGATCTTATTCAGAATAAGTCCTGCAGTCTGCTTGACACCAATACTGACACTGCAGCTGTAATTCGTCTTAACTGTCCTTTTACTTGCTTATCCTGACGTAGCAGTGCTCGGGCCTTCTACTTCACTTGGCACAGATCACATACTATGTTAACGACAACTACAGTAGTGACTGGAGAATTAAATGCTAGCTAATGCTTCAGTGTGTGCTGCTTGTAACCTGAACAGTTCCCGTTTGGTCAAGGAAAGTTCTGTAGTTAGTCGTACCTCTTTTTCTTTTAACTTCTTTACATCTCGCTGGCTAGTCTAACATGGAAAGAATGGAAATCTTACTTTCTTGATATGATTATAAAAAAATAGACAAATACTTTAACGTTCTGATTATATTTTAATTTCAACAAACAAAATCTATATAATATGTCAAGCACACTACTTGTAATAGAAAAAGTAAGGAAAAATTTTTTTAGAATACAATAAAAGATGAATGTTTGGAATTTATAGATGAATTTACCTTTTAAGAAAACTACCAGTATTGTTAGTAAAGTATGTTTAGTGTTGTTGGTAAAGTATCATTTAGTCTTAGTGTTTAGGAATTTACTTAGTTAGAACTAATTAAAAAATTGCAGTTTTGTTATCTTGACCCAAGAAATTCAGAAAATATCTCCTGTAAAACATTGAAAATTGTTACACATCAAAAGATGTACTTTATACTGTTAACCCTCAAATGTTTTTAAACTATTCACTACCAATGAGGTTCACATATTGCATCATACTGGTAATAACTGTAAAGAACTGACTAAAGTCTATGGACCCCTATTGGTCATTTTCAGGTGGCATCTTAACTGCATCATGACCAGTTCCGAGCATAATTTTAATGCTTGTAATTTTATATCAAACTCATAAAATTTGAGTTAATTTTTTAATCAATCAAAAAGACATATTTGGTGGTAGGCATACTTTAGTAAAAAGTCACAGCAGTGATGCTATGAAGTCTGCATAAGCTTGCAGACAAACAAATTGAATTTTAAATATCGGAGATGTGTGAATCACATAAAATAATTGTTTTGTTGAATTTCATACAAAGATACTTGAAGGCCATCTGTGCTAGCCATCCCTCATTCTGAAGTGATAGACTAAAGGGAAGGCAACACCACCCACTGCCAGCTCTTTACAAACAAATAGTGTGATTAACCATCTCATTATATTGTCCCCATGGTAAGCATGTTCAGCAACAGGGTTCAAACCTGTGACCTGCAGATTGCAAATTGAGTGCCAGGCCTCACATAATATAAAAAATGAATGCTTTTAATAAGTAAGGACATTAACTTTTACATCCTGTGTGGACTAAACTTTTTCACACACCCCTTTTTTACTCACTCAAAATATATGAAACATTTTTATTATTCTACAACTTTTGCATTCGAGGTTATATTATAAAATAGCCTTATGCTTTAAAAATAATCAAGATAATTTTTCTGCATATTATGTTATAGTTACGTTGAAAGAGCCATTCCTATTATTAAGAACTTCTAATCAAAAGTAAACTACATAGAACAGGACTAAATATAAACTTATATATTAATGAAGCCTATCCTGTATAACAGACTAGTAGGACTTAATGCCATGAATCAGTACACTAGAAACTTACCATATTTTGCCTGAGAAGCTCTAGTTTATCTGTTTTCAGCTTAACTACTTCCAATTTCAGGGATTCAATCTGCTTTTGCATAGCTGCAATATAAAACAAATTAAAAGAGTACAGCAGTAAAAAGAAACTTAATTTTTTTCCAGAACAACTTTTACAGGGTTTTGATATTGATGCTTATATATATGAACTTATACAACAGCAATATAGGAGACAAGCAATGTTCTTCATCAGGTTTATGAAATACAGATATTCTTCTTATATTGTTAATGGCTTTTATTTATCCGTCAAATTACAAATTCTAGTTTTGTGATAATTCACATCTTAACATATTTTCCATGTAAAAAAAAAAACACTTTAAACTAAAATATAATTTGTTATAATTTATGGTTTTACTCTTGAAAATTGTATTCTCTAAATTAAAACGTATTTTAACACTTTCACTGTGGAAAGCCACTATAATTCACTGAAAGACTAATTGTCGTTGACAATGGAGATACTTTTTCTCCACGGCCATAAAATAAACTTCCCTGTACAGTGGGAAGTGACAACCCTCCATGAGCTTGAATCAACCACATCTGGAAGTGTGAGTGAAAAAAAAACAAGTATAAAAAAAATCCCTCAGATGGAGCCCCAGATGGCAGACAATGCAGAGCACCCACTGATCGTTTTATTTCCTCTGTGTTTTTACAATAACTTAGGTACAATATATTCTATGACCATTCTTGTGCATAGACATCATAAAACTTCATTCATTGTTTAAAAATGCACAATAACTTAATGTATGAAGTGAAAAGTAGAATATACAATTAAAAACTACATTTTTCGGTGGAAAAAGTTCTACCATCTTCAGGAGATCAGCTGAATTTTTAAATGTTAATGTGCTTACTTATTTTATATTTAGGTAAGTTATTGATGCCATAACATCAGGTTATGCAATGTAAGTGTGTCTTATATATTATAATAAAGCAAAATATACTGCTAATTTATGATGTTTTTTGATGGAGAAATGAGATTGATTGGGGACTGACTGTGAAATCTAATTATGCAGTTAAAGGGATAATTAATGCTGTGAAAAAATTTCAAAATGTTATAAAAAATACTGAGTTTTTATTCAGAATTTGTACTTTCTTGCTGAATAAAACTGGAATAAGTTTAGTGATCTACACTTTAGCACTCTAGACCATTAATATTTATTTTTAAGGCTGAACCTCCAATACATACACCTAGTGTTAATGTATCTTGCAATCTTGACTTGAATGAGTTGCAGTTTTACATTCATTATGTCTTTAAAACTACGTTTTTTGAATCAAAGCTCTAAACTACTTATACCTTGATAACCAGGCCTCTGTGTCTTACAGCCGTGAAATAAACAGGGTTCATATACTTGCTCAAGAAAAAAATGTCAAATACTTAAGACTTTGATCTTCCCATCTGATTTCCCAGAAGCAGAACAAATATTAATTGAAATTCATTAAGTCTGAATTTTCCAGAAGCACAAATACCGTATTTTTCGGTGTATAAAACGCACTTTTTTACCCCAAAATTTGATGTCAAAATCTGCTTGCGTCCTATACACCGAAGGTATGAGTAATATATATGTATATATACAATATATACTGTCAAGTTGGATGCGTCACCGAAAGCCGAAGTACCGTATCTTAGGTCTCGGGAACAAAATAGTTGTTTCTTCATTTTTCGTTTTATTTTTTCACCCCTTACGATGTCTAAAGAAAAGAGCATGGAAACAGAGCTGCCGAAAGATATTTTGGTCCTCCACCAACAGAAAAAACGAGTCGTTACTGGTGCGAACAATAAGAAAAATTTAAAATGATTAAAAATGATAAACGCAATTTCCAAGGAAAAAAAATCAGAGTTTACACAGTGTTACATGATACGTACACTTTCACTAAAAATATGTTGTGTTATGTAATACCATCAGGATCAGAGTTTACACAGAGCTACATGATACATACACTTTCACTAAAGATATGTTGTGTTATGTATCATCAGGATCACAGAGCTACATGATACGTACACTTTCACTAAAGATATGTTGTGTTATGTAATGCCATTTCAGGATCAGAGTATACACAGAGCTACATGATACGTACACTTTCACTAAAAATATGTTGTGTTATGTAATACCATCAGGATCAGAGTTTACACAGTGTTACATGATACATACAGTTTCACTAAAGATGTGTTATGTAATGTCATTTCAGGATCAGAGTTTACACAGTGTTACATGATATGTACACTTTCACTAAAGATATGTTGTGTTATGTAATGCCATTTCAGGCTCAGAGTTTACACATTGTTACATGATACGTACAGTTTCACTAAAGATATGTTGTGTTATGTAATGCCATTTCAGGATAAGAGTTTACACAGTGCTACATGATATGTACACTTTCACTAAAAATATGTTGTGTTATGTAATGCCATTTCAGGATCATAGTTTACACAGTGCTACATGATACGTACACTTTCGCTAAAAATATGTTGTGTTATGTAATGCCATTTCAGGATCATAGTTTACACAGTGCTACATGATACGTACACTTTCACTAAAGATATGTTGTGTTATGTAATGCCATTTCAGGATCATAGTTTACACAGTACTACATGATACGTACACTTTCACTAAAGATGTGTTATGTAATGCCATTTCAGGATCAGAGTTTACACAGTGCTACACGATATGTACACTTTCACTAAAGATGTGTTATGTAATGCCATTTCAGGATCAGAGTTTACACTTTCGCTAAAGATATGTTGTGTTACTTAATGCCATTTCAGGATCAGAGTTTACACTACATGCAATATAGACACTTTTACTGGTGATATTTTGAGCAGGAAACTTCTGAATTATATAAGATTATGCACGTTTTAGACTTTTGTGAGTTATAAAAATAAATTACAAAACATAACATGAATATGCATAAATATAAAATTCAAGGACTTTTTACTTTCAAGTTTTTGAATTTACTCTATAACACAATCGAGTACTTTCAGAGCTTTTAAGGACACATATGAACCCAGTAGACAGAACTTGTCAGCAGAGCTTTTTAAACTACAACTTGAAACTATTTATACCTTGACAACTGGGCCTCTGTGACCTACAGCTCTCTGTGCAAACAGAACAAGACTGGACGGTGTTCAAATTCCCACTATCAGCACCTCTACAAGAGTCTTCTGAATTTGCGGAAGTACGTTCTAACTCCAGACTGTTGATACTGGATGAGTCAGACTCGCAGGCAACGTGCTGTGCCAGAGGTGGGGTCTCGGGGCTTGACATTGGTGTGTTAGGTCCACTGCCTGATCTCTCTTGGGCTCCAACAGATATGCTGTCATTGTTTCGACTGAATAGATCATTAAAAAAATAAAACACAGAAACATGAATCAGATGTAGTAAATAAGAAAGGAAGCTTTGTTCCAGTGAAAAAATTTAACACTGTGTAACTATAAGTTTCAACTCTTAATTTTGAGAAGAGATCCACATGAATGCAAAGCAAAGATAAAGACAATTAACTAGCATTTTGAAGTCTCTGTGATATAAAGTTTATTATTATTTACAGTTGTTAATAAAACTAAGCTAGCATTGAATTTAACATGATTATTTGAAAATTTCAATCTTTGTGAACTGTTTCACCCCAAAATCAGATCACTCCAGGCTTTCAATTGAAGATCACTTTCAATCACAGTTGAAACTGTTTTGTTGAAAATTAATAAACAGTAATAAAATATAACTTTGTATAGTATCAAACTTTAATCAGTAATTAATTTGTGAACAGGGCTGTATATGATGTGTGAAGTTAAGATATGTAAGAAGCAATAACATACTAACCCTCTTTTTTTTTTTTTTAGGCTTGGTCCTTGCATTTGATTTTTTACTTGAATAAGGAAACACATTATGCTAATATAATAATATGTAGGCAAACAATCATTTATAAGTACAAGGAAAAGTTTCATTGATGTTGGAACATGTTTTGACAGGACATTGGTCTGTATTCTTCAGGTATGACCAGTACTAAGCAATACAAGGTTTATATATTGTTACAAAGGTAAAAGACACAAGGATTAAATGTCACATATGTGGTGTCAGCAGGTGAAAGGATATAGGTAGAAGTCAAGTCTGATCAAGTGTATGAATAGACCTTGCCAAATACAGCTGATGTTGCTAGGGCCATTATCATGGTTTAGTGAAAGATCATTATAGATTTGACCTCGATCTACATCCTGTCACCTGCTGACTCCATTTCTGTGTCTTTTGCCTTTGTAACAATATATAAACCTTGTATTGCTTAGTACTGATCATACCTAAAGAAAACAGACCAATGTTCTGTCAAAACTTGTAGTATGTTCCACCATCAGTAAAACCTTTTTTTATACTTATAAATCGTTAGTTGCCTACCTATTATTACACATGATTTCTTTAATTCCTTAAACTGTTTAACTCATCTTGTATACAACTCTGGTGGAGAAAGTATCAACTACACAAGAAACAGTAAGAAGTGAAATATTGCACTTAAAATTTGTAGATTCTGATGCATTTGAAACAATCACTTTGAAGCACATTAAGTTTTACATTTCTGATGAAAATGATTACGAACACAGGTAAGTTGAGTAGTCTGATACATAAGTACATTAAAAGTAACCATATTATATAACACATTAACTGATATCTTTTAACTGACTGACAGAAACAGCATTTTTGACAAAAGCTTTGTGTATTTGCATGCCCAGCTGATCTGATGAACTCTGGAATTGATGGAAAAATCCCTTCTTCTGCATAGCTGACCAACAACTTTTAATTCCAGTGAAAAAATTAAATATTTTATGAACTATAAGTTTGAACTCTTAATTTTGAAAAGAGATCCAGATGAAAGCAAAGGTAAAAATTATAAAAGTTTTAATTAATTAGATTAATTAAATCTAATTAATTAGATATTAGATATAAACACAATTAATTAGATATTTCATATCTAGAAGACCAGAGAACTATTAAAATGGTGTATCCCTGTTGTGGTCATTCAGATTAAACTTTCACCTAGATGTGTTCATGGCTTTTATATTTATTGTATTTATAAATAAAAGTGATGTTCTCTGGACTTCTAGATACGAAACTGAGCAAAATGAAACATTTAAAGTTTTTATGAGGTGCTAATTTTGAAGCACCACAACTCAACTGTGATAAAGTTTATTATTATTATAAACCAAGGCTGAAAAAAAAGAAGGGTTTATCATTATAAATCAAGCTTGAAAAGAAAAAAGGGGGTTAGTTTGTTATTGGTCTTACATATCGTATACAGCCTTGTGCACAAATCAATTAGACATTACATCATTTTTACTGTGATGTAATGTCACACAAACAACAGATCTATGGGTCATGCTTCACTAGGGTAATAGGATACCTTAGAAATTACTGATTACAGTCAATTTCTGTCATCTTAAGTATATTTTATTATGAAGAATAAAAACCATTCACTTCTGATCTTCCGACAACTAGTATGCAATTAATATTTAAACAGAACATCGCTTTTATTTATAAATAAAATAAATATAAAAGCCATGAAAATATCTAGGTGAAAGTTTAATCTGAATGATAACAACAGGGATACACCATTTTAGTAGTTCTCTGGTCTTCTAGATATGAAACTGAGCAAAATGAAACACTTAAAGTTTTTATGATGTGCTATTTTTGAAGCACCACTACTCAACTGCGCTGTCAGAAATGAGGGCAAAACATACAAGCCACTTCTATTAAGACTTTTTGTGTTGCATGTCCAAACCGACCTGATAAGCTCGGGTTTCTGGACTGGTATGCGTCAACACAGGGTATTTTGTTGGGATGGTATTATGTTCTTACTCGTAATCTGTTATTGTCAGTAAAAAAATATTTGTTAAAAATTGTTACCAGTCCTACTGTCATACAAATAAATTTCTTGGTAATAGTTTCAAACTTGATGTGTCATAGAAATGTTAAAGCTAATATTGCTGGTCGTAACATTGCTAAATACAGGAGACAAACTATGGTTTGACTGACAGCATTGTTAATTTTACTAATAATGTGCAAAAATATTGCTTGCATATTTATTTTTTACTCTTTATACACTTCAGAAAATAACATATAAAACTTTAATACTTTCAGTAATTATGATAAAGCTAAATAAAAAACTTATTTTTATGTTAAACTGACCACAAGTGTAGGATAGTTGTCATCATTTTTGAATGTGTCAAACTCCCCCCAACCAAGCAGTTCTGGAAATACTAAAAACAATGTAACATATCATTAACTACAGCATTAGTAGAAAAGTGAGAATAAATTTAAGCCACACACCTGTAAAGCAGACAAAGGTAAAGAAAATTGGCTTGGAATTGTATTTTTACTCGGTCATCACACTGATAACATTTTAATTTATTTGTTCAGTTTTCAAACAACAAACGAAAAGTGCACTTTTTTGTCACACCAGCTCACTTGTGACACACTTACATCGATCTAGATAGTCTCACATAACATCGTTAAACAAGTTCTTGATCAACTGAGTACTGCAGTTTCAAGCTAACTTAGCTCTCCTCAGCCTAGTTAGTTCAGTGGTAAAACATCACCCAATAGCTGCTATAGACGGTACCAAGTTTGAAAGGGATAATTTTTTATATTTTACACCCTTACGTGAAACTATTTCACCATATGCACAGTTCATATAGGGATTTAAATATTATCGTAACACAGAGAGTATTTTTTAAGGGTTTTGATATACCGATACTATCACAAACAAACTGTTTTGCCAAAGTTTATTCAAGTATATCAACAGTTCTTTTTATGCAAGTTCAGTGTTTTAATTTCTTAAAGTTTGATTTTAAATATTCCTGGTCTTACTGCTCAACAAGGATGGTTGGATTTTTTTAATCATTGCATTGTATGGCAATAACACAGGATATCAATCTCTTTTGATATCTTTAGTTGTTTCTTTTAAAAAAAAATAAACAAATTAAACCATCATACTGAGAATGAACTAGCAAAGAAACTAAATATCCATTACGATGATATATGAAAGAAATCACAATGATATATGAAAACTAGAAAAACAAATTTTATATAACTAATAATGGATACAAAAGTTAAAAGAAAATTGGAACAAAAAGAATTTGATTTCTGACCTGTGTGTAGATCCTTGGGAAGGGGATCTCTGATACCAATACTTTATTGAACCTGAACCTTTGATACTCTGCAACATTCAGAAAAAATGTGTTTTTTTAATTAGATGCTTTTAAATAAGTTGTTAAAAGATATCAATAGAATTTGTGTTGTCTTTGTTCTTATCAGTTTATGGTAATAATAATAACATATTTTAAAAATGTATGGTAATATGCCACAAGGCTTAGGAACGAAACACTGAATTTAGGTGAATGGCTGTTGTGCATTTTGTAGCTGAAATAAAAGTGTTAGTTGTGTGACTTGTGCCCAGGGCTTTCAGTTAAATGTACATTTTGCCAAGTTTATCTAGAGTTTTGAATGTAACATTTACTACCAAACCTATTTTCCTCAGGTTAGTTGTAATAAATAACATGACTCTTAAGCCAAACTAGTTACAAGAACAAGTTTCATTCTGCTATCCCTGTATTGTACGGTTTAAATAAACAAAAAGACAGCTTCCAAAATAATGAAATGAAAATGTCTTGAATCCTGTGATGTTAGAGAAATATAGATGGCTAGCTGTATCTGGAACACTATACCAAGCCTTAAGAAAGGAATTGTTGATATAAATTTACTATGTCAAAAATTATCTGATGTAATGTTTCTCTTTTAATAAGATCTTATTAAAAGTATATATTTCTTTCTGAAATCCTCATTTGCGAATCTGAACAAGTACAAGTGATTTCATTTTAATATTAGATGATTTTAAAAATATTCAATATCACTTTTAATAGAATTTTTATATTAGCTACTAAATGTTTTCATAATTATTAGAAGCCTGCACAACTACTACTGGCACTTACTGTAGGAGTTAAGTCCCCAAATGTTGTGTTACTACTACTAACACTAGTTGAGGACCGTTTAGGTGTAACATTGGAAAGATTGGACTCTATCGACTGACTTCTGGATCTTCCAGTCAAGGCCTTCCGAACAGAGTCAAAGAAACGTGAGCTTGTACCATTAACATCAGTTTTGTTGTTTTCAAAACAGGGTCCTGTTCCACAGAATTCTTGAGTCTTCTGTACAAGACCATCATGGAGGGATTGTAGAAGAGAGGTTCTTGTTCGATCCTGATACCAAAAAATAAAATTTACTGTTGTTAAAAACTACTAGTTTTTGAAATAGAATAAATATTTAAAATATTTTTGAAGGGTAAAAATTCCACTTTATGCCAGGCTTAGAGCTTAACCAATATATTAACAGCAACGAAACTTAAGTTATAATCAATGTATAATACATTTTTTTTTAAATTGAAGTGCTTTTTTATTCAGTGGATCACACATATGAAAAATCATGAACTTCTAAAAAAAAAAAAAAAAGGATTTCACATTTACCCTCAGAAATGACTTTTCACCTTTTGATGTTTTATGTCTTGTACTAAGGTAACAGAAAACCACTAGTTAATAATATTGCCTATATAATGATTCAAGATTATTCTAAGGGGAAGATCTCAGAATTCATAGGTTTTTTTTTAACCATTTAGACAACTGGAATAAAACAAATCATATCTCAGCAGCCATAATATAAAATTACAGGTTTTTTTGCAGACTAATATTAAAATAGAAATGTTTTTAAGACAGCTACAGTTAACTGGCACAAGTAGTGAACAGAATAAGTAAGAAGTAATAGGAAGGCAAATTCTGACCATGTGTCTTAATGCTTGATCAATATAATTCTTAAAATGTTTGAAACTTGGCATACATTTTTTTTTCTTATTACCAAAACAGCACCATAAGCCTTATTGTTTCTGATAAAATATTACCCTTCAAAGGGAAGAGATTATTTTAATAATTAACTGAAATATGTTTAATACAAAAGGAATATTGTATTTAATTTGACAGCTCAGTCACAAATATCCTGTAATAAAAATGTTAAAAATATTTGATGGAACTATTAAGTCATATCTTTGCATAAATTCAGAATATATTAAGTTATGTTTAGGTAAATCTGAGATTATAATGTTTATAGGATCAGTGATTAACATTTCTGAATTGAAAGATATTATGTAGAGATGTTTACGCTTGTATAATATGATTTTAAATCTAGTAGCAGTTATTTTTAGTTGCTGCACAGTGGCTCATAGAATGGCTCTGAGTTGTTGTTTTGTTTCACTTGACAGATTTGAGATCTAATTACAGTGTTGGACTCTGAAGGTCAAACCCTTTCGATTGACCTATATGAACACACCCAAGATTTCATAGATTAACTAATCTTGCCTAAAAGAATTTCAATTTGAGGGTAGGCTGGCAGAAATCCTGATGAGTAATAAAATTGAATCTGGTATATGTGTGTGCCCCATGCTTGGTATTGCTGGTGCATAAACATTTGCTAATAAAAAGGTTAAAACGTCTCGTGGATTAATTTACTCTAACCCTGCCTAAAAGATTTCAAGTGCTGCGGTTATTGAGGATTCCCTTGTTTGTATAGTTTTCACATTACAACTTTATCACAATTGCAAAATCCAAGCCTTTCAACCAAAAAATATTATATGAAACTGCTGTACCTCCAGTTTCGCAAACTTTTCTGACTTGTAGCATGCATGCTCGGCATTGATAAGCTTAGCAAGAAGAAATTCTCGAAACCGATTTCCTTTGGTAAAAACAGCAGGCTGTGGTAGAGGTGGACCAAAAAATGGAACATCGTCTTTTGCTGTAACTGAAACCTTGTATCTGAAAATCAAAGACAAACTAAATTTTAAGTTTCTATCTTAAGATGAAGATTAAAAACCATATATTTCTGAGCTTCTGACAATTAGCATGCAAATAATATTTGTACAAAATATCACTTTTGTTTATAACATACGAAACATAAAATATATACAATCTTCTTGAACCTTCCATGAAGCACATTTATGTGGAAGTTTAACTTATATCGCAAGAGGAATACACCTTTTTAACAGTTCTTCATTCTTCTAGATATTAATGAAACTAAGCAATTGTTAAATGTACATTAAGTTAAGTCTGTATGAAAAATGTAAAGGTTAAGCTAGGTGCAGATACTTCTTTTACAAATTATTTGAGAGGTTAAAAGACAAGAAATAATAGTGATGAATAAAGGATCCAAAGAATAGAGCATCAATAAAATATGCACAAAAAGTGAACCTAAAAAAAAGAAAATGTAAACGTACTTTTTAACTAAGAGTAAAAAGTGGACAGAATTAACGAAAAAAAAACAACAACAAGTACTCTACCTTTTAAGTGGGAAGATCTTTTTCAAGGAAAATTCATTAAAATACATTCGTCAACTTCAAATCTTCTGGAAAGCAATGAACCACACACACACACACACAGTCATAAAGCAGAATGTATACAGTAGAATTAAAAAAAAATACCAACCTTGTCTGAGGTGACTCAGGTTCAAGAGCCTCAACAACAATATAAGCATGTAGAAAATTAGACGCTATAATGGTGGGGGAAAAAGGAGTGTTGGAGTCCTGGAATATAATGGCTACAATGTCATTCCCAATGTGTCTCTTTCTTTGAAGCTGAAATAACAAAACAAGTAAGCACTGAGTGGTTTAACATCATGGTTGTAATGGGGAAAGTTCTATATAAATACTGCAAAAAAAAAAGTTAGCACCCTTTAATATCAAGATCCATTTCATCAACAAGAGCTTGTTCAAGACCTTTGGAGCAAGGCCACAATTTAGACCTGTTGAAAGCTGGTTTTATTATAAAGATCACTGACCACTCTTCACATATATTTATAAATTAAATAGGTACCTTGCAATTTCCTTATGACAAGTTAATGTAAATTGCCCTGTGCATAATGCCGTAAAGAACCAAGGGATCAGGTTATATAGTTTTTGTTTCTAGATTTTTGAAAAACGAGCTTAAGATATAAGTAATGCAATGAATATTCATATACCATTTTTGACCTGTCACAAATACATCAGTGTCAAGCAGAATTTTATTTCCTAATCATCACATTTAACTATATTTCAACCGAACATAAAATTTCTGTCAAAGCAAATTCTGAAATACACCTGACTAAGAGGTTTGCTTTAGTGGATTTACTCATAATCATCAAAGGTAACACCTTTTTTGAAAAGTTTTAATAATCTGAGGGTCATAAGAGTGTTCATGTACTACTAATGCTGTGAAGAGAAGTATGGTAGTAAAATTATGATAATGCATAGAAAAAGAATGTTGGAAAAGTTTAATATCACACAGAAAAACAGGACTCTCATACACATAATAATGTGTAGTAAAACAGGACTTTCTTACATTGTTGACAGGATCTAATAATACGTAGTAAAACAGGACTTTCTTACATTGTTGATAGAATCTAATACTCTGTGGTAAAACAGGACTTTCTTACATTGTTGACAGGATCTAATAATACGTAGTAAAACAGGACTCTCATACACTGTATATACAATATAATAATGTGTAGTAAAACAGGACTTTCTTACATTGTTGATAGGATCTAATAATGTGTAGTAAAACAGGACTTTCTTACACATTGTTGATAAGATCTAATACTGTGTGGTCAAACAGGATATTCTTACAATGTTGATAGGATCTAATAATGTTTAAAAACAGGACTTTCTTACATTGTTGATAAGATCTAATAATGTGTAGTAAAAAAGGACTTTCTTACATTGTTGATAGGATCTAATACTGTGTGGTAAAACAGGACTTTATTCCACCATTAATAAAATCTAATGACGTATCGTAAAAAAGAACTATCATGCAAAGTTTGTAAAGTTTGATAACGTGTAGTAAAACAGGACTTTCTTACACTGTTGGTAAAGCTTAATGATGTATAGTAAAACTGTCATGATATAAAAGACTGTTTAGTTTAGATATTATTGATTAACTTATTTTGTGAGTGAATATTTTATTATTGTTTAGTTTTTGTTATAATAAAGAGTTAAAAGCAGACGATTGTAGGAGGTTATGTTTATAATTCATTGACGCTGAGACTATTGAACGTCTCATGCAATACACTGATGTCAAAAATATAGAGATTTCTAGAAGGCCAGATGATTAAATGACAAAGGTATAAATAGTGTGAGATGAGTGAAAACAGCAGACAGACAATAGCAGAAGAAAGTTAGGACAAGAAAAAGTTTGGCGTGAAATTAACTATTGTAGAAGTGATAGGCCTAATGATTAACATAGGCACTTCAAAAGGAACAGAGGATATTTAGAAGAAAGAAGAGAAAACGATTATCGGTAACTCACACCACAATTGTAAGTAAATCACACAGAGAATACTAGTGCGATATTGATAGAGAAGATAGTTCGTCTTGTCAACTGAAATTCTAAAACAATTCAATAGGCTTAAGTGAACTTTTGACAAGAAGAAGAGAACTATATATAAATAGTGTTTATGATATGCCTGTAATATCTATAGTGTGAAGAATTTGTTGTACATACGTTTAACTTCTTTCAAATATATATTTTATTTTAAAAATAAGTAAGGTGCGTGCTGTTTATTTATCATTGAATTTATAGCCAACAAATCACAGACACCTACTGTAGAAGAATCCTAAGCCCAACAACGACACAGTATATATTCATTAAGAAGTATAAGTAAAAGCCGTTTAATTGGCAAAATAATTATATTTTTAATTTCTGGCAAAACAGCTAACAGGTAAAGTTGGTAAAGTGTTATAAAAATTGGGTTTTTACATCTCTTGGTAAAGTTTAAGAACACTTAAAAAAACAGAGGCTTCAAGCTCTGTCTGAAGAAAGTTACCAATGTGTAATGTACTGTACCTTTTTGTTCTGAAGTCTTCTTGGTGTGGTTGTACAGCATACCTTAATACCGAGGAAACAACAAACTTAACAAAAAATCCAACAAGTGTATTCCCACAAAAACATTATTCAATTCGTTTTGAAGTATTTCTTTGTCAATAAACATTTTCAGACTGTAAAAGAAAAACTTTGTACCTGTTGAGTATCCCCTTCAGTGTAGGGAAGAAGTGTAGAGACATGAAACATGATTTCACACCCTTGAAACTGGGTATATATGGACTCTTTGCCAGTCTGGCCATAATGGGTGTCAAGACCACCTCGAAAGCTAGAAGATACATCACAAATACATAAGCAAGAGGGTTGGAGAAATTTTTGACAACAAATAAGATTTCTTCCAGAAATATTCCAGCAAGATAGCTAATAGAGTAGTGTAAGTTTACCTAGAAGCAAATTTGTTCATGATCAGTTTTGAAATTTGGAAAGATCAAAGATCCAATTCTTTCTGATATTAGTGAACAATGTTTATTATTTCTTAAAGGTTACATTCTACACACAGAATCTACTATCTCACACAGCGATATTGCATGCAGAGGTATATAGCTTCAATAAATGCTCTATCAAGTTACCCAAATTTAAAACAGGTGATACAATCAATTAACTCTTAACATTTATTGCTGGCTTCTGATCTCATCCTAAAGTTGCAGAAAAATTAAACTACTAATAATAAATGAAAATGAAGATTTTACTGTAAACTACTCCATTTCTCTGATGGAATAGAATAAAAAAATAAATATGAAGCCCAATTACCATTCAATTCACCACTTATCACTTAGTTATTCTGGTGTCAAATGATAGGTAGAGCTTCATATTTATTTTTAGTATCTTAAACAGCTTGTCTACTGAATAATTTAGAAGAATAAATTAGTAGCATTATTCTTCAAATCCTATATAAACAGAGGTTCACTCTGGTGAGTAAAAACACCATGTATATAATATACAGTTTACCACTTCAAGAATCCTAGTCTTGTCTTTTAGATTTACTCTTGTCAAGAATTACTTTAGACGGGTGGAATTCCCCAATATCAGTAAAACGTGGTGAAAAGCAGAAAATTAAATTACAAATTGGTTTACATATTTGTTTTTATCATTTTAAACAGATTGTCTGCTGAATAATTCAGTTAGTAGTATCAATGCTATATATATTCTTCAAATTCTACATAAACATAGGCTCACTGTGGTGAGTAAAAACACCATATGTATAAATAGTATAACTGTGGTAAAATTCTAGGTATTCTTTACTGTAGTTTTAGTTAAAGAGGTATATTCATCTTCTACTGAAGAATATTGTTTGGGTCACTTTGATATGATTTGATGAAGGTGCTGCACAGATCGACAGATGTGTAGTCATCAACATCATTCATTAACAAAAATCTTTGATTAAATCTTGTCTGCAGTCAAATCAGGAACAAACAATAAAAGGTCAATACTGTTTATCAGTGTGGTATTCAGTCTGAAGAACAATATCTAAAAATATCTCTTACTGGGAATATATATATATTTATTTGTGCTAGTTCAAGAAAATAAAGGATTAATAAATATCTGAAAAATAAATTCAATTTTATGTAGAATTATATTTTAGATATTATAACTGATGCTACATTACAATTCTGAGCACAAAAGTAAAGTCACCCCTGGAAATCCTTTAGTTTGATGTGGTGTCCTAACATATTTAGAAATTCATCCATAGCAGGACTGTGACTAACATTCCCAAACAGCTCTTCTTCAGTTGTCTAAACCAAGAAATAAAAAAAAAAACGTTTCTTTCTTCAATGGTAATGCACTGTTTTCAAATACATTTTTACACTGTCTAAAGTTAACCCTGAAATACTGAATTTACATCGTTAACACTTTTTCTTGTACAAAAACAATAACTTTCAAGTCAAGCAATATGTTTTTTTACTGAATAACATTACATAATTGATCAGCAGAAAATGTGTGAAGTGTCTATAAATATTTTAGATCATGCTGAGATCTTTCATCAGATTTAACAACAAAAACAATTCTTAACTTGCTTTGCTTATATATATCCTATAACAGTCGATTTTTCTCAGACACTGATATAAGCAGCATCTAAACAAAAGTTAGTGTTGTAAGCTAGTTTTGGTATTACAGAAAAGGTTATTGGTCTATAAATAACAGAGTACAGACAGAAAACTATGCTCTTTTGTAATTGCAAATGTATTGTACCAGCTAAGATGAAAGTAACATGTATCATAATTTTTATCTAAAAACAGAAAACTAAATAATACTAGCACAACAGTGTCATATACTTTGACTAGATTACAAACTGGTGTTCAACATAACACAAACAGAAACACAAAACTGGAACTGGTGAAGCATCATAAATTTATAACTTGAGACTATTAAGAAATTTTTTTTATCAAAGTTTAACACACGTAGCTATTATAAGGTAGCCTAAATGAAGTTTTATTCATATGAATAAGAAAAGGTTGTTTCATTTTTCTTGAACAGCTGGTTTGGTCGTATTAAGCACTAAAACGAGCACACATTTACTAGTGCCAGGTGATCAACTATAATCTCTATATGACTGAAACAAGCAGGCTTTACAATAAACTCTTTGAAGTTACGGTGATAGCTTTTGTTAACCATTATTATATGTTGATATTATTCCATTACCTACCCATGTCTTTTTAAAAATAAAATGAAAACAGTTAAAGGAGAGAACTGATTAACTGATTAACAAACTCAACATATTATTCTCTAGATGATTCAGCAATTTTTAAAAGCAGTATTTTTAGCAGTTACATTGATTTCATTAGCCAATCTGTATAACTTCTGAAAGTCATTCATTTTGAGGTCTGTTTCTTTATTGAACTTGATGTTCAAGCATTAGTTTGAATAGGATCTGCAGAACTTAATACTAATTAAGTTGAACCAGACATACTAGAATAGCACATAAAAAGAAGGAAAGAATGGGTACAAAGAAATAACGTAAATTGTTAGAAGTACAAAATCAAACATAAGTAATTTTTGTAAGTCAAAATTCTGAATAATTAAATGAAGAAATTTAAAAAATCAATAACTAAGCTATTCATAAATCTTCTCACTGGTTTCAGCCCTTATTCTCCATGTGTTTTGCAATTCAGGTGTCAACCTAAGAATTTTGTTATATAATAATATTGAGGATTACAAACTCGTGATGAAAAAGTTTTCACCAAAGGTTAATTTTGTTTCTAATGTGACAAATGCTATCGTTTATATATTATTTCAGGCATAGATTTCAATTCACAGTAGCAAAGGCATTACTTCTTAATTTAGAATTTTCAAAGCCAGCATTACAAGCCCTTCTTAAATTGTATGTACAAAAGACAAGATTACAAAATGAAGCAAGAGTAAGTGGTCATTCAATATGTTTAATAAAGTCATTATAACTTTTTTGAATGAATGATGAAATCAAAAAGTGAAGTAACTATATAGACAGAATTTAAAGGTATGGTATTACACCTTAAACTTAATAACAACCCAAAACTTTTTATTAACTTTAAAGTACTCTATTCCAAGACAATAGATAGAGAAATAACTCCAAATTATGTTAATACCACTTTTGGTAACATGAATGTCAGGTTATTAACTCTTTAAACCCGTAACGTTTTGCGCATTCTGCAGGAATTATTTTGATGATTACCTAATAATTATTACCATAACTTATAAAATTTAAATTTTCTTAATTTTATGGATAATAACATGGTTTGGATTAGTTTTCAGCCAAAGAAACATAAATGTTATTGGACGCTGTCCCCGTCTGATGGGTAAATCCAGATTTTCGGCTGGACACTACTAGCATCTGCTTAGGTTTAAAAAGTTAGATTATGGCAGCATATTTAACTACTACAGAAAATATCAAACTTACCTGGGCATGCCTTTGGTAAATGACACCAAATTTGAAAGTATTGACCAAAACGTGCTCATCATAAGCAGTGAGCATTTCTGAAGCCTACAAGAAAATAAAATTTGAGAATCAAATTGTGTAAAACTGCATTAGAGGAAAAATTTATAATATTTAGTTATAATTTAAACCAGCTCTTAGTTTTAAAAACTTAAAATGTTATTTTTCACAGTTGACACAATAACAACACATCAGTGTAATAATACACAAAAGATTAAAAAATTATCAAAAAATAACAAACCAACTAGTTTTGACAAACGAAGCCTATCAAAACTAGTCGTTTTTTTATATTTTGTTAATTCTTTAATTTTTTATATAATATTATGCTAACATGTTAATATTGTTCTTTATGCATTTGCTCACAGTACTTTTCTTTAATATATTAACTCAGTCACAAAACAATCAGTTGGAGTAGACTGTCAAACAAATTTTTTAATTGAAAAAATGTTCAATCTACTTCAGACTATCTACTGCTATCTGAAGTACTAATAAAACTGTTTACTTCAATCTAATGTTCTTTCTAAAAAGATTGAGTACATATATTAAAATAATTTTGCAGCCTCACCACATCATTTCAGTCCATGTTGCCACATCCATTCATGCTCTGCTTGAAGAATATGCATCTTGACATTAGCCCTGCAGAATAGTTTCCATTGCAAAAGACTCCATCATAAGGCTGTCATCTCCAAAGCACACCCTACCTAGATGATTTCCATATGCTATCTAGTGTACGAGAACAACAGTTTCCTAGTGCCCATTTCAGCAGTCCAATTGCACAGAAATCCATAGGTCTTACATCCAGCAACTTGAGTAGTACATCTTTATATGAAATAGCATAAATATCAGTTTCATTCTCCAGTTGCTTGAGGTACGTGTCAATTGGGCAGGTATAGAAGTTTCTTTTCTAGACAAAGATCTATCTTGATTATGTTCAATACTGTTGCCGGGAACACACAGATACCTTTTTGCCAATGAGTTTTGTGTTCATGGATTCTCATTTTCATCTGTTACAAGATTCCACACTTTGCTTACCATAGCTACGATATGACTTGTTGCAGGTTTATTTCTGGCTGGTCCTGAAATCCCCATATTGATCCATATTCCTCTGTTTTCTAGTATCATTAGTACAATGGATATTCTCATCTTGGAAATTCTAAATCCCCAATCTGAAAACATCTTTATGTTCTTAGTGTATGAATATCTTATGTCAGAAAGAGCTGTTACAAACCCTTCCCAAAATTGATCATTTTTGGTGACATCACACTACCCAAACAATGTTTATTTACTATTAAGGTTAAAACTACACAGTGGGCTATCTGTGCTCTGCCTATCCTGGGTACCAAAACCTGATGTTTGGCATTATAAGCCCTCAGACTTACCAAAGAGCCACCAAACATAGTCAAAATGTAGTTCTGATAAATTCTGTTCTACTTTATGTATGTTGTGGTTGTCATGTGACATGTTACTTTACATATTCATAATCATTTTAATATGATATACTCAAACCTCTATTATAATTAAGCATTTAAATAAAGCTCACTGAATGATCTTCTGCTTTCACTTATTAACACCTAACACAGTTTAATACAGTATTGTTAGTTTTATTTTTAAATCACTAATTAAAATTCAGAGACAATAAATTTTGTTACTAAGCCACATCACATACCTTTGGAAATGTTACTGGTTGGAATCTTTCTGTTATAATCTGATCGCAAAGAAGCTGAAATAAACAACAATAACATTTAGCTTTATATTTCTTATTCTTATTATTATACAGCATAAACCTTTTACTGATTCACCAACAATACATTGGTTTATGTAATTTTATTTGATTGAACAATTATGACAAACTTCTAAAATAAAAATATAACTTTTCTTATTTCTTTAAGTTTTCAGAAAATAAATCCACAAGATGCATCAAAACAGTAATATTTCTGTAAATTGTAATGAATGATATAAATTGGATTACTACACTGGCCTAGACAGAAAAAAATTGTTTGTTTATTATTGGCAACACAACTTTCTGAGGGTTGGATAGATAGGTATATTTTTATTAAATATCTTTATTTAGAATCATTACTGTTGATACTTCTGTGGTGTATGTATGCATGTCTGTGTACATATAAATAAGATATCCATAAATTATTGAACACTTTTATTCAATAGAATGAGAGATATATAAAGATAAACAATTGTGATTTGCAATATAGTGGAAGCAAACACCTGAGGTTTGTCCATGACCAATGATGCCATCAGTATATCTGAAAAGGCCATCATAAATTCCCCTTGACATGGCTACCATTAATACATCTTTACATGAATACCATTCCTAGCTCCACTCCAAAAGTGTCCTGGTGATAATTAAATGTTCTTGTACCTACCAGATAATGTCCTTCACATACCCCCTAGAAACTGATACATTTTTGTGTATTCTAAATTACATTATTATAGTAATAGAAGCAATTTTTTTAAATGTAACAATTATGAGAAGCATTCAGGGTTAGGCCTAGGAAACACAGCCTGGTTTTAATATAATGTACTCAGCCCCTTCTCTTATAATCAGGCATTTAAATAAAATTGTGATAATGTAGTCACTGGATTAGTTTTAGCTTTCATTAAAATTACCTACTAAGACTTAAAAATTTTTTTTATAGCAGTATTTCTAGGTATAATACTAATATTTATTTTCTACATATATTTTCAAATTTATTGTTAGGTATTTTTTTCATGAGTTTATTGGTATCTATTTAGAAGATTTTAGAGATTATTCGAATGGAATATGACAAATGTATATTGAAAAAAAAAGTATATAATTGTCAGCCTCAAAATCACCATTCAGTTTTTGTTTTTTGGCTATTTGCAAAGTTTCTGAAATTCATCATCAGTTTTAGTATAAATATTGCATAAAACGTCAGATTTTTTATTTATAACAACTTTCATTTATATATTAAAAGTACACAAAAATTCATTAAAATAAACTTAATACATTCAAATTTATGGTCTTTATTATTTCACCTTGCAGTTTTGGAACATTTTTGTCCCTATCCCTTCTCATTTTGTACTCGTGCTGTTTCATAATAATTGTTTCTGCAAAATACAGTAATATATACATATATATTTATTTTCTTTTTAGCAGCCCACGAAACATTACGAGTTTCTGTATTTTTTGTGGGTCAGTCACCAACAGGTAACAAATAACTATATTTTATGGTCTGGTATATAAATTGCAATTTGTTAACATTGATAGAGTAGGTTACAAATGCAATAACATCAATTTTAATAATGTTAAAGACACTTGATTAGTGACTAACATAGCACACTGAATGTGCACATTGTGTTCACAGCTGAATGACACATTAGTAGAGTACACAAACCGGATTTCTTAAAGATCTAACCAAACTTAGACTCTGGCAGCAAACGAACAGATTTTATTACTTTACATAAGCCAATTTTTCACTGTTATTAATTGTGAATATAAAACCCTAACAAAAAATAGCTCAAATTAACATGAAAAAAGTTAAAACCCATTAAAAAAAATACCACACCATCTTGTTAAAATAACAAAAAGAATAGAAAATAAAATTAATAAACAGTTCCAGAAATCACACAATGTCAGTCCAACACTTCCACAATCACAACCCAGTGTTCCTGCCTGTGTTTAGACAGGATAG